CTTGCCCCGCGGAACGAAACGCTGAGAACAAAATCATGGTTATTGAATATTTCTGTAACAAGTGAAGCAATTACGAAAATGGGCAAAAGTCTGCGGATTAATTCGTCGCTTCAAAGATGCATTTAACTATCTCCGAAAGAAAATTTTATTTCAGCTGGAGTTTCACGCTCGCGAAATTGGACTAGCTGCGACGTCGAATTTATCTTTCCGCAACTGCTTTTTTCGACTCACGACTATCATCTATCTTAGCAATGGCCGCGTTAATTGTGAGGTAAATTGTCTTTAATAAAACTCGCCCAGAGTTATATCGTCGTTGAAACCTCGTTGTACGCGGTCGGACTTGAGACTTAACGAGAATTACGCAGTCGACGGCGGTGTTCAGTCCTGTTCAGTCCTTTGTTTGACCATGTTTGCAGGACCCCGTTGTTCCGAAGCGAGAAGCAAACGGCAGCGGTCGGTCTCCTTTCAAACACAAGAGGGTGATTTCGAATTTCGCGAGTTTCGAAATCAGCTCTCGAACCCACGTGGGGGTGCCAACTAATTCACTTATTTGCATTCCGCGCTCGGTTATCTCCCGGCGAAACGAAGGTTACTTTACCTTGGCATTTCGTATACTTCATTTAATTTTCATTCCGCATTTTAACGAGCGTGACATGCGAATTTAACAATCGCCAGGCGACGTGTCACACGAGCGTTTGTCAAACGCGAGCTCCCAATCGGTCATTGTTTCTTTTTCTTAACTATAGTAATCCATCCTTTTACTTACCTCAATCTCTTATCTTAGTCGTTCGTCAATCGGAACCAATTGGCGACCCGATCAAGGTGTCAAGGATGCAATCAAGATATATCTAGTGTTTCCAATGTGCAATTTCAAGGCATGTAAATGCATCTCATTTACGTTTCGCGACTGTTAGGATAATTGCGAGTTAGCATACGGGCCTTCACAATGGATAGCAATTAGGACGGGGGGCGAGACGGCGTTTCTGGAATGTTCGATCTCTGATTTATCGATTTATTACCGGAGTGTCGAGTGTTTCCAGTCGCCATGGTATTGTCGCGATGATTCTTCATCAGCAACGTGTGAGGGATGCTTGCGCGTACGAGTAAAACGGCTTCGTTAGAGGCTCAGCCGACCGGAAGAGTCGTTAACTACGAGCAACGAAGTACACGCGAGCAATTTGCATGACCGCCAATTTCGTACGCGTTCCACTACTGTGCACGCTTCGATATAAGCAGCCTGTGCCCAGGTCGCCCCCGTGTGATTCCATTTACACCCTAATAAATTTCCAACAATAATTATTGGACCGGCCCTACCAGCGCGCGTTACATTATGCAATATCGAGGCTCAATCGAATTACGTTTAATGTGCGAAGTCGTCTCGTTTCATATTCATTTCTGAAATTCCCTACATATTTCCATCATTCATTCCCTTTTATCAGTCCGATGAACCATCCGCAACGAAATATGGATGACCGTCAATTTATTCGTGGAACGCGTTTCGCAATTTTGAGCAGCAGCACTATTTTTGGAGTTAAATCCGTTTATGGTATAGTAACATCGTATTATTAATTGGATGTGTACATACGCGATTATATAATTTTGGAGGAAGATAAATAATTCATAATTGATGCAACGGAACGTCTGCGTTTAATTACAAAAATTATCGAGAGCGCGAATAATTAATCACATTCAAATATCGAATATCAATAGGATTTTATTTGACTCGTGCGCTACGAATAGCTCGCGACATCATTAGTCATCACCGAAATATTCCTCAAATTTATTTAAGCGTTCCTACACTCCATCCAGCCTTTCCAAATTCCAAATTTACAAATTAAGTAACCGGAATCCCGCTCTTGTAACACTTTGTTAGTTTCTCATTTTAAAGGAAGCCCGCAGTGTTCCCTCGTAAGAAAAAGGGTAATTAATAAATATGACGAGCCATCTTCATAGTGTACCCTTGATTGACGTCCCCTTTGGCAAACAATGAATAAGCGAAACGCCTTTAAAGGACACGTTAATTCGCCGGGAGAAGTCGCGTGACTCCGTAGTCACCGAAAGAGGAGCCGAAGGGTAGACAGGGCACTCGTTCACCCCGTGGTGCCTTCGACGGCGAACCAAGCCACCCTGTATCGACCCAGCGACGCCCACCCAAAGAGCAACCCCCACCATAGATGACCCCATCCACCAGCGACCGGTACCATTTCGCCCAAAAATTCCGAAGCGTGATGTGTCGCGCGCCAAGTCGCCGCTACTTTTTTATCCGTGGCACGAAATTCCGATGAGATTCCGAATGCGCCGTATTCGCTACGCGATCGTTGTTGACAAATCCATAAATCCAATGCTGGCGAATTGGCTTTCCAAATTCGGTTTCCGTTCGTAACGAACCGAAATCTTGTGACGCAATATTGCGATAATCAGGATGTAGACATTTAAATTGCCATGTTTATCCATGTAAATACTTTCTCAAACTCTGCATCTACTCTGGATGACTTATAACTATAAAGAATAACAACAGGAAAAGATAATTCATAAGACAAGTTTGAATCAGAGGAAGTTGGTTACGAGGAAGTTGGTTACGAGGAAGTTGGTTACGACGCAGAAAGAGGCATAGAGATATTTTTCTTCGAAGGACGAACGTTATAAATCATCCGGCAAAGTTTATCACATCAGTCGTATGTCATTGCGTGACAGTTTCGTATAAAAAAATATAGAGACATTACTATACTGCCATATCATAAAAGACGCCGGTCATATCTCCACTTTATCGCGCAGACTATTGCTTCCGAAGCGATTTTATTCTCGAAACATGTTGAAGGAGTATCCCTTTCTACCTATCTATCTATCCATCTCCCTGCTCACCAGAAGTAAGACACTGACGTTACATCCGCGGCTGATGGTACAACGTCGACAGTAAATATCCCGGACGCCTACCTATCTCGAAATTTTATTATGAAATACAGTATGAAATACAGTATATTCGTTCCCGTAACACACTTCGCTCGCCGTAGTATATCTTTCCGTTATTATTCCCGAGAAGGATGTACACGCGCTTAAATTATCCCCCGAAATGACAGGGCCCATCCATTTTGCTGTGCGCTTCGTTGTGTACACGATGCGCACGATGTGTTTATCGCTCGCCCACCGCGATGTATTTATAGTGGTCGAAACCCACCCTCTGGTGCACCGCTGGTCTAAATTATTTCCAAATAAGCGGCGCTGTTACCGTCTACGGAGGAGTCGGTTACCGCCTTCACTTAACTTCCAACGAAAATCCCGCCGACCGCTCCTTTCCCGTCCCATTCCCGGTGTTCTTCCGGACATTACGCCGGGAATCCGGTTCGCCCGCGATTCGTGAACAAAAACGGAACACCGGTGATCCGCCGGTGATTTTCCTCGCCGCCACCGTTTCGTCTCGCTTAATCGGCGCCCCACATTACAGGAACGCGCGTGTTATATCCCCGCGAAGCTTCACACGCGAGAGGAGCCTCGATCGATCCGCGCGGTAAATATCAAAATTTCACGGACTGACGCATGACGCAAAAGTCGATTGAAAGAAACGATTGGACGCGGCCTGCTATATTTGCACGAGTTCTTCCGCGAGGCTAGGTACACCGAACGAACGCTCGTCATGTACTCGTCATCTGGTTCGACAGCGAACCCGTTGCTGTCGCATTCGACGTGACGAGCGCCCGCTGAAGCACCTCGACGATATTTTTACAGGTCGTCGAAAAAAAAAAAACGGTAAAAACGGTAAATTGCTCGAAGACAAATAGTGGATTAAAAGGAGACTCGCGAATGTAGAAAGTTTGCGGATCTATTTCTTCAAAGAACGTGTTTAAACAGAAAATTTAAAAAAAAAAAGGACGGATCAAAGTATTCTCACACGTACGGCCAATGTTTCTAAGTAAATTTCTAAGTATATACGTATATATTGCGAAACTTTTACGTCGCGTCATGTTCCGCTCACGTAACAGGGGTGTTTGCGAGGGAGGATGCAAGAATTCTGAAGACAAAATGGATGTTTCTCTGAATTTATTTCTTCGTTCACGCGCTTCGCAAATTCACCCCGCGAACGAGATGCCGCATCCACGTCGCGAAGTATTCTTTGTTGGGATTTACGTATGCAAATAAGCGAAATAATATTACCATCGAACCACGAACGCGGACGGACCCGTTGCGACGAATTTAATTATCGATTTCCCCGAGGAGAGAGAGAATATCTTTCTGGAGTGCAGCACCTATTTTCGAAACGCGATGCAGCCAGGAGGTAGCGGTTTATTTCGGTGAGTTCGATGGAATATTATTATTATCATCGCCGGCAGCGGTCCTTTCGTTAGATCCGAAAGGCAAAGCCAGCGCGCGCCTGTATTGCGATGCGCAATCTTTCGTTCTTTCAATACGTGGACCATCATGAAATTCAATTCCCGTCCCGAGGGATGGGGGGAGGAAGGAAGCGCTATACATAAATTGCTTAGGTCTAATCGAACGTAGCTTATCGACGACGAAGATACATTGCGATGTAAAAGATTAATGCCGATAAGCACAGAACGGAGATGAGACGTAATTCTCACTGGCGCGCAGCGGCGCACGATTATACAGCACTCACACGGAAATAAATCATGATGATTCATCGCACAGCGATAATAAATATTTCTTGACATCGTTTCTTAATTCATTCAGTGATTTTAAATGACGGCACGTCTCTCCTTCCGCCTCGCCTTCCGTTTCCGGTGATTTCCGAATTAAACGCGGTCTCTTCCGCCTCGGCCGCTCTCGTGGATTCTCGTGGGAAAGATCCCTTGCACGATCAGGTACTTGACACATTTCGATTTTTCCTTTCTCGTCCTCTTTTTTCTTTTCTCTCTCTCTCTCTCTCTCTCTCTCTCTACTCTCTCTCTCTCTCTCTCTCTCTCTCTCTTCTTCTTCTTCTTCTTCTTCTTCTTCTTCTTCTCTTCTCTCTCTCTCTCTCTCTCTCTCTCTCTCTCTCTCTCTCTCTCTCTCTCTCTCTCTCTCTCTCTCTCTCTCTCTCTCTTTCTCGTTTAATTTCCAAGAGCGACGGCGATCACTCGCGACTCGATGCACAAGTCTTGTCGCCGCGTCTCCGCGCGAATTCTGATAAATTCCTTTTCGTCGCAATGCACACGGACGCATTGCAGCGGTTCTCACTATTTTCTCCGTTTGCACTTCCCCTTCTCTGCGTCTCATCTCCTGCGCAATCCCCGGCTCTGTACAAAACTTGGTCGACGACGTTAGAAACTTTTCCAGCTTGTACTTCAAAGTACAAAAGAGTCCTGTGAGGAGCCTCTGACGATGTCTTACAGAGACTCTTCTTTGTCTTTTGGTATATACTTCCGTCGTATTATTTCTCGATGAAGTCTCGCCGGGTATTTCGGCGTTCACGAGAAATTCAGTTCATTTTCTCGAGTTGAGGACGCACCTCGTTCGACAGTGCGAAGGATAATCGGATATCGTCTATTTAATCGAGCCGATCGATTTGATCCCTGGAATACAATCAAACGTTCGCATTAACAATGGCAGCCGTGTAGGCACGCCTGCCTTTAGTCGCGTTGAGTACACAGGAATGTTTCGTGGATGTGGCTATGTTCCGGTAGTCTGCAACTATTTCAGAGTTATACAGAGAATATACATAGTTGAAATACTTTCTCGCGGATCAGCTTGTAAGAATTCGAGGATCCGTAAGAAGCGCCACGGCAAATCGATGGCGCAACATAACTCGGTGCCGTTTCCCCCTCCGTTTTATTAATTGAAAAAAACGACGGCTATTTAATCAACGTGGGAAATTTTTGATAGCCTACTAGCATCCAGTATCAAGCCCGTAACACGCAAGCAAGATTATTCCACGTAATTGTGCACAATCGGTGGGCTCGTATATCGTATTCGGATATGTACCCCGGCTATTTCACAGAGTTTTTACTCTTACAATCAAACCGTCCCGACATTTACAGTAGCACGGTACGTCGGTCCCGTGCTAGATTTCGAGTTCTTTTTTGTTCCACCGCTTGGCGACCGAGCGGTTGACGCCAGGATCGATGGCAAAAAATCCGTGTTAAACGCTGGCACGAGCCAGATGTCCGGGGGTCGCGACTGTGGTGGTCGGCGGGGTCGTCGTCGTTGTCGGCGGTCTCGGTATCGGGGAGCGCTTCATAGGCAGACTTCTACCACTCTGCTCGCTCTTGACCCACGGCCATTGCAGCGTGCGAATTAGAGTGTTTCGAAAGTCTTCGGAAAAGAGGCAATAAATGTAAAACGTGATCGAGTAATTGATCACTTCCAGCAGATTGGCCAGCGCCCGGAACACCTGCAACCGAACACAGCAGAATTAATGGACGGATTCATAATTGATGAAGTCGTGTATTAGGCGCGGCGGATGATGGGAGGGGAGGGGAAAGGGGTGTGTTCCGAATAATTAAATCAATTATTCAGAAAGTAGGAGAAAAAAATAAATTCCGATCGAGCATTCTTGCGTGACAATAAAACAATGAAAAAAAAAAAAATTGATCGAAGGAAAAAATAGAACCGATACCGGTATATTATTAAATTCTAATTCGGAATTCAATTCTATCGTTGTATTAAACTATTAATTAAGGATAAAGATGCGTCTTCGTTTGAAATTGAAAGGTAATATATAATGGAAATATTTGATGTGAATCTTCTTACCTGGTAAGGATAATGGTTGAGATTGCTCTCGCTGAGTGTAACATTTAAGATAACCATAGGACTGACGCAGACTAGGAAGAGGATGCTGGTGCTACCTAAGAGCAGCATGAGCCTCCGTTCTTCGGCGAAAGTTCTGGGATCCTCGTCGTTGCTGACTGTTCTCGATAAGGTCATTCGCCGGCGTCGCTCGCAGGACCTTCTGTATACTATCATTATTCTCAGATTGAATCCGGCGAGAAGGATCGTCGGCGCCACTTTAAAAACAACTTCTAGCACCACCTTGTATACCTAAAATACATATTTGCGTCACACACAAAGAGCCGATTAAATTAAAATGTTAAATATGGTATAAATCATTTTCAAGCTTGCAAATAGAAGAAAAATGCAAAGCTGAACGTTCCAGAAATTCTGACCTTAATTCAAATGTCAGATCTCTTTTTAAACGTCAGATATATTTCTATTAATTTAAACTAATAATGGATAATGCTACATATATAATTAGCATTAATAACGTTATAGGTAATTAATAAATTAGCAGTTAAATTAATAATATAATATTCTGATATAATTCGCTTTAAAATGTTATTTCTAAATTTTTAGGAAACAAGAGGCAACTTCACGAGAGAAAAGAAAACATGAATTACCTGATAGTACCACGAGTTGAGAAACGGCTGATTGTCTCTCCTCTGGTAGATTAGGGGACCGTCGAGTGCCAGCAGGCAAGTCGTAACTTCACCTCGAAATACGCTCGGCAGATAAACGAGAAATGTAACCAGAGGGATGAGCACCACTGTTAGGTGAGGAGGCCCGCAGAGTGGTCGCGTGTGTTGTCCGGGATGACAGACGCTTACGTAACGCTCCACTGTCAATGCCAGAAGCATCATTACTCCAACCCCTATGCATACAATTAACCCCTATATCTCTTGAATATAGTGCTATGTCGAGTCAGCCTTAAAAGCTCTCTTCGTCACGTAGATCTGTGCGTTTCCACACATAATGTACAGAATGTCGACCGAAAAATTGTCGCAACACGTTTCGTCGCCTGTACAAAATGGCTTAACGCTCTTTTTTTCATCGCGCCCCATTTTTCTCTCTAATTCTCTTTCTTCGAGCCGCGTCACGGCGAACTTCTAATCGCTATAATTGTTGTAACTTATAAGAGCTGCGAGATACGAGAAAGCAAAAGTTTTCCGCTGCGAGCGGAAAGTTGTGCAACGACCGATCTTCTATTTCTTTCGCGCACGGTGCGGAGAGCAGATAATGAGATAAATTTATTCCCTTGTCTCGGCGCGATAGTATCAGTTTTCGCGAGGACGGTGTTAATGAGAAAATACAAGAGA